ATAATATAATCCTATTTATATAGCGCTTATCCAATTCTGTTCTAAGCGCTTTAAAACTACATGACAACTACAAAACACATGAGAGTCTTGGTAGACTGTGAGCTTGAGTTGGCGCCTCTGGCTGCCGCTGCACAGTCCGTCCCAAGATCTCAAACTAAAAATTAAAGTACAACAATCAGATTTACATCACAATAAACAAGTGTTTTTGCATGATGCCCGGTGGCTTAACCAAGCTCATTCGCGCTTTGACAGGTTTTGTTTTTAGTCCTGCTGGGTGTCATGCCACCCTCCTCACCAGTGTAGACTGGTGGGGGTGCCGGTTTAGACGCCGACGACCCGTCCATGAGGCAGGTTGTACTGGGTTACAATGTTACCAGTAGCAGACTACATGTATTACCTGACGTAATGAATCATCATTAATATACAGTACAAAATAAATTACAAATTGGTAAAACTACGGGCCATAAGTTACTATTTCCAATCAAATACAAATAGCATGCAAAAAGCCCATGGCTGATTTGGGTCAATGATGCCACTTAGCAGTGATGCCAACTCTATAGCTAAGCTCCACAAATAACCGCATGAGATTTTTAGAAGCTATTATAGGATATACATGTATTTCAGACCCGTTTCAGACGTCGACCTTTTGCCGCGTCTAAACTAATTGCTTTTAAGCAATTAAAAATGCAGTTCTCGAGAAGTTTGCATTCTACATCGATTGATATTTACGGATTATAGTAAGCTTGTCCAACTGAACAAAATCTGCAAAATTCAATGAATTCAGAGTACAAAATGCTCATTAACTCGACTATTTAGGCTCGATAAAAGATTTACGTCTGAAATGGGCCTCATTTTTTTTGATAAAAATTTTCTAAATAATTTTAACGATTAAAATTAAAATATAAAAAATAAAATTAAAATAATTAATAAAATCAAAATAGACTAAYTGACTGGAAAATATATGTTCAAAGTCTTGCTTTGGTTTTCTGTCTAAGGGCACCCTAAGGACTGCACAGACCGACAGACCACTGAACTCGACAGACTGAGACAGTAAACAT